GGGAAGGTGTTGGTTGAGAAACGGGAGTGGACGAGGGCGAAGTGAGCCTCGTAGTCGGCGTTGACGAGATCATAGTAGTACTGGTACACCTGGACGGGAGACAGCTGTCCCTTGTAGACAATGTTCTTGTTGGAGAGGGAGCAGAGGTAGAACCAGTTCTGGAGACCAATGGTGTGGGTGGCGCGCTTTCTGAGGACATACAGCTGTCTTTCGAAGAGTCTGTCATCAAATTGCTCGGGGTCGGTGTTTTCGGGGGCGTTGGTCGGGCCGTAGGCGGAGGTCAACACGACAAAAGGTTGCATAATGATGGGTTCACGGGACTTGGCAGCAGGACCAAGCAGAGTCGAGTCAACGGGAGGCCTTCGCCATCCCAAGACACGCAGGCCTAACGATTCGGCAATGTCTTCCAACTGCCTCTTGGACTCTTGCAAAGTCTCCTCGTCTGGCTTAAAGAACAGGTTTCCCGTGGCATATTGTCCCAGAGGCGGCAACTTAATGCCTTCCTCCTTTTCAAAGTTCTTGACAAAGAATCTATGAGGGATCGAAGTCATGACGCCAGCGCCATCACCGTCTCGTGCATCAGATCCCACAGCACCTCTGTGGGTCATGTTGCAAAGTAGGTTGCGCGCTGTGAGACTGGTTAGCTTGGCTGCTGGGCGAACATTGGGCCAAGGGGATTATTGAACTCACCATCGCTGACAATCTTGTGGCTAGGCTTGCCCTTGATGTGGCTGCGAGAGGTGTCAGTGGTTGCCTGTGTAGAGTTGAGAACAATTCTCTGTCTGGTCTTTTAGACATACCAAGCAAAGCCGACACCGCATGCGTCTTTCTCCAAGCTCGGATCGTACAATCCTCTGCGTTCGATTGTCAGTATGGACATGTTCGAAATGATAAGGCGAGGAAACATACTGCTTCACCGGCAGAGCACCCGCCCAGGAGCCATTGTTGTCCGTCTGGTACTCATAGGGAGTGTATTGCTCTTTTTCAGATTCAATATGGATTTGTCGGTCGTCGAAGTCCTCGTGCAGGCCCATGCTAGGCGAGGATTCGAGCCTGATTGCAGTGGAAGGGGCTGGTATAGGTCGACGGGGGAGGGACTATTCCAGTCGGCAGCAGTCGATCGATAGGAGCAATGGCTCTGGTACGAATCTATCACGCCCCAAAACGGGTTCAGTTAGTGACGCTGAGGGACGAATATGTGTTGGTCAAGTGTGATTTTGGTTCGATGGTGGTAAAATGAGGGGGAGTAAACGCCCAATGGCCAGACAGAGGGTTGCACAGAGCACAGGAATGGTCTTGGGCCACGCAAGAGACAGAGAGAGATAAGGCGAATGGTTGACGGTGAGTTCTGAGAGTGAGAGAAGAGTGGCGAAGAGGAATCGTTGGAGGAAATTGGATGCGGGGTGCGATATCCTTGAGTTAAGCTCGGAGCTGGCGAGGGACGCACGGAGGACCAGAGGGGAAATTTCCAGAGCAGGCCAAACTCTACTCCCGAACCGGATTGCTACGTCGTCCGGAAGTGAGGGAGCATCAGGTAAACTGGGAGCAAGAGTGAGAGAGCCTGGCGGTGGTATTGACTCCCGACCCCTGTTCGCAACGACGTAAAGCCAAGAGGGTAGGACAAGCATTCCGAGCAACAATGCGCAACTGGGAGCAAGCAGCAGCACATGCCACAAGCAATGGCGGCAGAACATGGCTCTAGTAGGGGCATTGTCGGTAGCAGTGGGAGCGAGGCAAGATGAGGCGAGCAACGCTCAAACCAAGCAATCGAAGCCGAACATGGAGGGGCAGGCTAGGACAAGAGCAAGCAAGCAGCTGGCAAGCAAGACTTCAGCCGTACCCATCCAACCCAAAAGCAGCTCAGACAATGGAGGGTCAAGCAAATGCAAGCACTGCCAGATGCCAAAGGCTGTTGGGTGCTGTCTGTCGTCTTTCTTGCCGACCACAGCTGGTGATGATTGCGGTGCCAGTGTCAGGGTGCCGTTTGCCAGTGCCACTGCCAGTAGCGCAGCATTGCAGAATGCGGTGCCGGCGTGGGCTGTGGTCGCAGCCAATGAGAGGTAAGCTGTTGCCAAAGCATGCGGCTAAGAATGGTGACGCCAGTAACCGGCCCCAATCTGTCGTAGAAATGGGGGAACAAGCACATGGTCGCACACGCCAGTCCCGCCCATACTAGGCCGCCACCGGCCGACAACCCCTCCAAGATTTTTTTTTTTTGGTGTGTTGTTTTGGCTTGGGGGGTTGATAGGCGATTGCAAGCTCCATTCCCGCGGTGACCTTACATCACATCCACAGGGATTACGACCAGGGGTCGCTCGTCTGGGCCTACGGGTGTGTGGGGTCGTCTGCAGTCGTACATAGTCGCATGCCCAAGGAAAAAGGGTGCATGTGTAGCGCTGTGCAGGAAAGAATGTGCGGCTGTCCCAGAGAAAGAGAGTTGGGACGGAGGACGGAGATGCCAAATTCGCTGCGAATTGATGCGCCGTCATATGCCATCGCCGCTGCCGCTGCTGTTGCTTTTTTCAAAGCCATTGGTGTTGCCAATGCCGCTCTCTCGTCAGAAGTATGGCTCAGACTCGCACAGCCGTTTTCGTATGAATTGGTCTCGTCAAGTGCTGCTTTCTCGGTGTCTCGCTTGTGATGCTCGTGTCTCTGTCTGTTCGGCTCCGATTTCTCTCACATATTCAAGCCCTCTGCTTCGATTCTCGTCTCTCCTGTGTGCCTTGCTGTTGGGCTGAATTGGGTGGTTGGTGGCATTGTGTGTAAGGCAGGTGAAAGGTAGTGGGAATGGCATGGCCGTGTCTCGGGTCTTGAGACGGCGGTCCCTATGTGAGCGCACGTATATAAAACTTACCGACAGGCTTTGGGTATTGTAATGGACCGAACGTGGTCGAGATGTTTGCGCAGTGGGATCGAGAGGGTTTCTTTTCTACCGTCGTAGCACCGCGCGTGAAGAGTGGGAGGGCGGAAGAAAGAGAAAAACAGAAAAGGTGGGAGGTGGGAGGTGGGAGACTGGCAGCCTTTTATTAAGATTTGGTGTATTGGTCCAAGTGTGTGGGCGAAGACGGGAGAGAGAGGAGTGGGTGAAGAAGGAGGAGGAGTAAACGTCCTGAGTCGGCGCTGGGCCCAAGCTGGGGGAGGGGTGGTTGGAGGGGGTATCGCGAAGAGGCTAACAAGATGGATGGGAAGAAGGCGATCGCCGGCGGCCACCCGAACGACAAGAGAACGCAAGACCAGAGGAAGCCAATGCAATCTGGATGAATAAGACGATCCTGTATGGAGACATGAAATTGGCACATAGTAGGAAAACGGGGCAATGGGTTCGGGGAGCACGAGAGCGAAGAGCGGACGAGGCGCGGAACGACAATAACACGGCAAGAAGGTCCTTTTCGGGGATACTGGCGCTTTCCTGCCAGAAACGACCGATGGGCTGGCTCAGGTTCTCACTTGCCTCGTTACTTTTTTTCACCTTGTGGCAAGCCGACCAGAGAAAGGTTCAGCCAACCAGTGGCTCTCTTGGCCAGAATTGTGATCCACTACTCAAGGTACAAGCAGACAGGCAGGCTAAAGAATACCCGTCTACTGGAGAAAATCATACGGCCCCTCCCCTGGTAATTTGCGAGGTGCAGTAGGCTCAAGTGCTGGTGTTGCATATGCGCTCTGCCTCTCTCTTTTTCTCCCCCTTCTCTGCGGCTTTCCTGTCGTGTTTCTACGTTTACTGAGAGGGGAATGGGCCGAAAAAGAGCAGTGGGGGTTTGCAGCATGCAAAGTGGGATGAAATGGGGGTACGTACCAACCCCAAATGCAAGAGCTAAGGGAAGGTAGCAAGTTGCTGCAAGAGGCACTGAGATGGGATGAGAATGGGAAGGAAAGGCACGACCTCGTAGCTAGGTACCGAGAAGGAGAGACGGGAAGTCATGCAAAAGGGCGGCAGGAGCAGCGGCAGCAAATGGAACGGGAGGAAAGAGCCCAAAAGAGGGGTACGTATCGGTGAGAGAGGCTCCGTGGACGGCGCGGCTGTGTCTGTGCGCTGCTGCTGTTGCTGCCTTCCTCTCGGGCGTGTCGGTCTTTCTCTCCCATCCCATCCCATCCCATCAGGGTGGCCTTTTTTCTGTTCTCGACAGGTACGCTTTTTTCGAAAACCAAGCAGACACGGACTGCCTGGAAGGTGTAAGACAAAACCATACTCCATAGCATGGTGGGGTCCGAATAACTTACGCAGTACGGATCCCTTAGCGGGGCGAAGCGCGGTCCAATCAATGCATCGATCAATCCAACACGTATGTCTCCCATTGGCGGCGTCTGGCGAGAGTCTCCAAATCTCTGACTCTTCGACAGCGCACTAACAGAACGGGACCCGTGGGTTGCTTGCGGGTGCCACTCTCCGCCCCGCCTCCGGTCCATGGGGCATGCGTCGTCTTCTCTCCTGCTCCGTTTTTCGGTCCATGATCCATCTCTCTTCAGTGGGCTCGCCGCTCCTCTCCACTGGCCCCTAGTCATCCAAGTTGATGCTCCCATCTCCACCATGCCACCACCACCCTGCTAGCCTCCTTGCCTCCCACGACATGGCCTGGGAAGCTCGCCGCTGTTCGACTGTTACCATGCAGCAAACCTTGGAAATAACCCCTTCAAGGTGGCCTGTCCACGGGTGAGCATGGCCTGAAAGTGGACCGGTCCAGCGCACCATTCTGCCCCTCCACGGCTCTGGCACGCCGCACTTCAGGCCCAGCTCGACAATCAACCGCACGGCTGTATTCACAACGCTGCTTCTGACGGGGACCATGCTCTCGGGAAATGGAATGGAAAGCCCCCCCCTTTTCCCTCCTCAGTATTACTGAGTCCTCCTAGAAACCACATGCCAGAAAACACCGCACATCGGCCAGAAGCAAGACACCATCGACACCACCTACCTGCCTCGGGAAATGGCCATTCAGAGGGATTGACGGCCAGCTCATCAATGAACGACCGCTTGTACCGTCAATCTCAGCCTTCTCAGGCCAATGTCTCGGCTTTTGATTGCTACACAGCAACAACTCCCGGCATCCCACGCTTCCCCAGAGCGCCCTCGCTCACACTTTAGTCTTCAAGATGTTCATGATCTTCCGCCACGTCAACCTCGATCGACTTTCCTAGCCGTCGGCTCACCCTTCACCCACCATCCTAATAATCGATCCACCCACTCGCTACCTCACGCTTCCTCGCCAGTCTCTCCATTGCCCCAAACCTTCGTCTCATGCTACCACCAAAGGCAATACGTGCCGCCAATCTACTTCCCCATGCGCCACCACCACCTCCTCCAGAAATCTAACTGGGTCCCTCCCACCACGGCGGACGTGCCAACGTTGCTCTGCGGGGTCCTCCCCTGGCCGTTGGGTAGGTATTCCGTCACGCCGTACTACCGGCCTGGCAACGCTTCACCCCAAATCCGCAATGATACTGGCTTTTCTTTTTTCTTCATCGTTGGTCGAACGACATTGGGTTCAAAACCTCGAGGTAAGACTCCAGATTACCTAACGTACAGCCCGGCCGCCTCATCTGGGGGGGAAGGATCACGACAAAAAGCGTTCCTTATCTTGCTAGGTCGATGCTGCCGACATTGTTTGAGCCAAATTGGCACTCCACAAACTTGTCCTTTGACCGACAAACACAGCTTCCATTCATTTCATTCCGTTCGGATATTCCGCCCGGACCTAGCGCGAGGAGATGCCACGCCTCGGGAGCCATATCCCATATTCCGCCTGAGAGTCTTGGCCAATGGCGGTGACCCAATTTCAGATCGATCAATTTGAAGAAGATCGGGTCAGTGTATATGACGCCGGAGGCAAGCGGAGCCTTTTGCTGTGTAGTTCGTGGCTTAATGGCTTTTCTGCCCGCTGCTGGGCTTGAATACACATCAGAAAAACACAGACCGCCATGCCTTACTTTGCCCTGCGGATCAAACGCTGTGCGCATTTGTGACTCGCTTCGGATGCATTCCGAACGCCATTCAGCGCTGCGTTTGCTCTACTCGAGGCATATGGAAGATATCTCGGGTAGTCACCCGAGACGTGTACGCAGTGCTGCAGTCTACCAGACGCGACGGTGGACGGTCAAACTTCTTCCGCACATCCCGGACAAGCAACGTCCTATGGTTTACTTGGCCACTCTGGCGAATCCCTTTCCGTTCAAGCGTCGCTTGCGGAATACTGTGTGTAAGAGAATTTTGACACAAAAACCCAACGCCTCGGCGAAAACCAGCAGCAGAGATGCACCCCACACACTCCATGCGGGCCAAGCAGGGGGTACCCAGTCGTTTTTCGCTCTCTCGAAACGGAGTCGTTGAAAGGTTAATGTCATCAACGAGCAAGCTCTGAGCTTGCACCAATCAGCGGCTTGTATTTCAAAGAAGCCCTTGGCCGAAGTCGCCTCGGATCTTGGGGCCCCTGATAAACCGCAGGATGCCCCCAAGCAATTGGACCCGGACCCTTCTTGGACATGGGCCACTCCAGCATCGATGCAAGTGATTGGGGGAGCAAGTTGGGGGAGGGGATGGTGTTGAACATCTGTTCCATTTCAAAGGCGCGCTTGCACATGCTGATGGAAGACTTACTTGTTATTGCATTGCTAGCGTGCAGAACCAGCATCTGTCAACTGGGCTGGCTTCAATGTCTCGCGGCCCTGCATGCACTATCTGTCATTGCTGCACTATCAGCCGGGGCAGGTCCAAAAGATGACGATTCTTGAGATCAACCAAGCTGCGTCAAGAACTCGATGTTGCGCAGATTCCGAGCTGTTTCCGAAATCCTTTCACGAATGAGAGTGGTCGGTATATCTCTTGTTTGCCTATCAGCCCTCCGATCTACGGAACTTGGTGGTGTCCACGGCCGGCTCGACGGCAGCGGCCGACGAAGGACCAGGGGGGGCATCTGGGCTGCGACCTGTATCTTTTCCTCAAGCGCCTGCGGCGGCATTGATCACGGATACCGATGGACGGACCGACTGACAAATGAACCCCCAACACGAGATCCGCTCAGCAGAAGGACGCAGGTTGACTGCGGTCTGCTCCGCGAGAGCGGTGTTCCAGGCGTGACGCACGTCGCAACTGCAAGCAATACGGGCTTTACTGGAAGGCTAACCAATGGCGGGCAGCACCGAGCACATGCAGACAGGGAGCGGCGCAACAGCAGAGAGACGGGATAGGAAGAACGATTCTTTGCTGTACAGAATGGCGCTCGAAAAGGCAACTAGTCACCCTCTTCTCCGGCATATCATCGACTGGCGAGTTGGGCGTCTGACTGCATTGCAGCATCGACAGTTGTTGCCCAAATCGAAAAGGGTTGCTGTCAAAAAATCGACAACTTGAAATTGGAGAAGCCGGCCAATCACAACTAGAGCCTCATCTTCAACCGTCTTATCTTGAGCCAACCAAGATGGCCGCTTGCTGCATCTGCATCTGAGCTATAGCGAGCCAGGTATGCCCCTAGTCGGCACATCCATGCCAAATGCGACCCCGCCGACCGGAGGCGTTCGAGATCTCACAGTTCCTTGCTCAGCACGACCCTGTCTGTGTACACGCACAGACATTCGTGGTCTCTTGGCTTCTAGAGCTGGAGGGGAGGGTGAGAAAAGGAGAATGAGGGGGCCATCTCCGACGGGATTCCAACGTTCAAGGTAGCCTGCTGAGAAGCGGCACAGACATGCCAGCCACATGAGAGACACCATCCGCACTCGGCGATGAACCACTTGGGAGCGACGCATGCATGGGCTACGTCACAAATGTCACCGATGTGCACAAAAAGATGCTTATTCACACACGCACGCAAGTACATACCACAGGTGTTTTTTCCCCTCTCGGTTTAAAGTTTGTGAGAAAAGCTGGTCGTTCCGGGACTCACTTAGGGTTTCGCAGGTTAGCCTGTCGACCAGCACGTGTCTGCATCCTTGATCTGGATGGTCAGAAACTACATACGACCTGGAAGCGCTTACGATCACCTATGCCCTCCTGGAGCAACCCTCCATCTCCGCATTTGAGCAGCAATGACGCTTCAATATTAGAGGAAGTCGTCTCATATTGGATCCGTACAGTCGGCTAGAACACGGGGACGAATGAACAGCTCGGTGATTCTAGTCACAAATCAATTGTCCGGCTACACATGTCAGTGACATATCAAGCCCCATACTCGGAGCATGTTTAGCGGGCTCCTGGTCAGCAACTTGAACAACAGGAATTATAAATATCTGGTCTGGCTTTGGAAATGGTTGCTACGCATCCATTCTTTCACGTCCTTGTGGAGTTTGTCACGACACGAAGCGAAGCTAGGTGACGGGTCCGACATGGCATCTGCCATTTACCCATAGCGCTAACCAAGCCCCCCGAAGTCGGCTCGGCCGTTCACCCTAACTAGGGCCGGGCGGATGTAACCCCTGGCTGGCGTTCTGGGACCTATATCGGAGGCGGCCACGCCCTCAGACCCAATCCATACCAACTTGCAGGGGGTGTCTTGCTTAGTTGCTCGGTAGTAGGTCTAGGACAGAAGCGAAAAAATAAACGGGCAGAAGAGAGAGTCCACTCGAGTCAGCCCACGGCCGCGAGGAATTCCCACAAAGCGGAAATATGGCATTTGAAACCTCCACTTGCGCAGCCAATGCCAGCAACTCCGAAGTCAGCGCTGTTCCGACTTCTCCCGACGAGACACATCAGAGCGGCGCGGGGCGAATGCGCTGGTCCCTCATAACCCCGTCGCTATGCGAATCAATGGCAGACGAGAGTCGACGCAGAAGCGCAGAGAATGTAAAAAAATGGAAAACGAACGAATCCAACACCCCTGCTTTTTCTTACCGAACGAAAACAGTAAACCCCCTCGGAAACGAGGAGACGCAGGCGCCTGAGGGCTGAGCCCACGCAGTTTGGATGAAACCTAGTAACCAAGGAGCGCATGTTCAACGAGTTCGGTCTGAGATTGATGCGAGGCACGCTGTATGTACAGCAGTTCTGGCGGTGGGAACTGGGTCTAAGTCCCGACAGAGGGAAGAGTCATTCGGTCAAACTGGCGGAGACTCTCAATTGGGTTTGAGCATATTTTTATTTTTCAAATGCTCTACTGTTAGCCTGACGGAGGGGCATGGAAATGGCAACCTCCCAGGCACCCACACATCACTTTGCGATGAAGCAATCGTGACTGTGCTGAAGTATGGCACACTTAAAGACATGTCGTTGAATTTGTGAGGCAGACGACCACATTTCTGCCGCCCGCGATGAAGCATCGTGACTTCTTCTTCGCAGGGATTAAGCGCGCTAGACGCGGCGCGTCTGCCAATGTGGGGTAGACCCTTACACCCCCCGGCAAGTACGTACTGTCGAATTGTTTACTCTTTGCAACCTCGCGACAAGCAACTTGCAGCGGGGTTCTGTGCCATTTGCGACGAAAGCTCTCGACAGCTACGAAACAGCTTCCATTCAGCTGTCTCTGACATCAATTCCTTTACGCGCATCAAGTCATCGAAACACCCGCAATCCTAGAGCATTGCCTAACGGCACCTTGCGAGTCACAATGTTTGGCCTCTTACCAGACCTCACCCCACGAGACGTAAGCTCCCTCTACCTCTATTGACATCTCCATAAGCATCCATCTCGCTCCTCCATGCAACTATCGCGACAGCTATCTAACCTCATGATCAACAGTCGCACTCGATCTGGTACACCTCCTCCCGCAACCCAATAACCCAAGCCGCCCTCCTCGAAGCCCACGAACACAACAACCACCATGGCTCCGCACAACAGCAACAGCAGCAACAGCAACAACAGCAACAAAACAGTTCCTCCTCCCGCCGCGCAGGCCAACTCCTCATCGAGCGGTCCGCGCTGGCACGCCTCCGCGCCGACGAGCACACAATGGACCGCCGCAGGCTGCACGTGCAAAATTTCGGGAGCACGTGGCTGAAGCCGCCCGGCGTGCCCAAGACGCTGCACCAGATCCGCGAGGAGCGGCGGGAGCAGGAGGAGCACGCCGAGGCCATGAGGCGGGAGCAGCTCGCGCTGGAGCTCGCTGAGGCGGAGGCGGGCGGGCAGGATGATGATGGGGGGCTGGGGGTGCTTGGGGAAGGGGAGGATGGCGAACAAGAAGAGGAGGCGAGGGATCTGGATGATGAGATTCCGGATGCTGCGGAGGAGAGTTTTGGGTTTGATGGCGGGGAGGATAGTATGGCGGATGATTTGTCGTCGAGTGAGGGGCGGCCTCTTTCACTTGATGACAATGATGATGAGGAGACTGAGGAGGAGGAAGACGATGACGACGAAGATGACGACGACGCAACGGCCGTGGACGAGGACGAGTATGAGAGGCGAGATGGCCTCGTCGCGGCGAGGATGCGCATGGCGGACGACGCCTTCAGACAGGCCTTGGCGCGGGGCGACGTCGACGGCGACGACATGTACGGCGCCGAAGAAGAGCTCGAGGCATCGGGCCAGGGCCAGATGCTCGACGAGGAGGACCTGCTCGAGGACGGGTTTGCCGCTGAGGGCGTCGTCGATGACGACGACTTGGGTATGGGCGTCGATATGGACGCCGACCTGGATGACGAGATTCCCGAGGCCGAGGGGCTGAGCGGGGTGTATGAGCATACGGACTCCGAGGCCGAGGTGAGCGGGTTGACGAGTAGTGTTATTAGTAGTGGCGGGGAGGAAGATGATGAAGAAGACGATGATGAGGAAGGGGATATCAGTTTTGCGCCGAGGGCTGCGCCTTTGAGGGCCCCGTTGAGTCCTACCGGGGACCGGGGGAGGGGTAGCGCTGCTGGTGCTGCAAGGCATCATCATCATATGCCGAGGAGTAGTCTGGATCTCAGCGGGTTGCTTTCTGCGGACGGGAGTAGTATGATGGATAGTAGTCCCAACATGAGGGCCCATAGGCGTTGAGGGGTGTGTGAAGAATGGGAAGGGAAAGACAGAGGAAGATGGAATTATGATACCCCCCACCGGTTCCCATACATTGTTTCGGGAGGCATGCACCGATAGACGTGAACATGTCCTCGCCTTCACGAGCCTTTATAGAAGCACAACATGCATACACCAGTCTGAGGCGTTGGGGCAACAATAAAAGTTCAACTTGAAATCTTGACAGAAATGCAAAAAGGCGTGAGCACCAGAGACTCGGTGTCGAAGGTTTATAGAAGTATAAAAGAGGTAGGTGTATGTATACACGGCCATTACAAAAGCTTTTAATTTGTGTCCTCAATACTTGACAAGTGAAAGGGAAACCGCGCCTTCTTCTCACCCTTCTCCCCCTCTCGAATGGTATGCAAGAGACATCGCACCTCCACAGCATAAAAGGAACCACGCCGTTC